GGGAGCATCCCTGCCAGGCAGCAGCCAAGGCAAAGGGACGGTTTGTGGGAGCTGTGGCAAACCTTCACGCTGGGGCAGGGAGTTGAAGATGGGGTTGCTGCTGGGGGTTGCTGCACTGGCCCTTCTCTGCAGTGCTAGAGTTGGGCTCCCACTGCCAGCCCTGAGGCTGGCAGCTGTGCTCCAGGCCAGGAAGAGCTGGAAAAATTATTTTAGCAATGAACCACAGGGAGGATTTGTTTGCATTCAGATCTCTGCTGCTCTCCTCGCCCTTCGCAGCCCATCGCACATTGCCCTACAGAACAAGCCCCATCCTAAACATTGCCTAAGGCAGAGCAGCATGGCTTTCCCAGGATGCTCATCATGCTCTCCTGTGGCAGAGCTGGGATTTCCAGCCCTCAGGAGATGCTATTACAGACCCCGAGCTGGCTTCCCTGCTCTAGGGACCATCTTTCTTCAGTGCCAAGAGTCCAACTCTCCCAGGGCTGGAAACCCACCACATCAAAGCTAGAATATGCCCCAGGAGCGGGGAGACAGGTCCTCCTGCATCCCCACCAGCTGATCCCTGGGGCAGTTCTGCAGTCCAGCTGGTGGGGTGGGTGTTGCATGGAGCTGGGCAGGACTTCACTGGAAGGCCATGCCCTGCTGCTGCGGGCAACTAGCAGTGGGTGAGCAGCAGCGGGTGAGCAGATGCTATCATCTCAAAGAACAAAAGCAGCAGCTGAACAACAGAAAAGGGATTTTTAGACTGATTGCTTAAAACTCTAATTCCATTAGAGATCGATAAATTTGAAGGGTAATGAGCAATCAGCAGCAGGATGCCTTTGATAGCCCCTCTGCTGCTCACCCATTCAATTGCAGTGCACAAAAGCTCCCAACAGACATTTGGTGCTGGATGCCTTATGTCAGTCAATCTGGACTACACAAGTGCTCCCAGTGACCAATATCGCCAAAGCTAGAGCCAACAAGAAACCAGTAAACCCCTCTCTGTCATCCTTTTTTGGGGGCTTGCTTGGGCCTTTCATATTAAAATAAATATAAGGTAGCAAAAAGAGCTGAGACTCACTGTTCTTTATTAAACAGCACAGCTGGGTGTAAGAGGCACACAGACTAGTTCAGTTCTCTTGGGAGTTACACAAAAAGTGGTACAGAAGAGGAGAAGGCAAGGAGCTGGGAAAGCTAGAGGGAGTGGGGAAGGTTTGGGGCAGTAACACCCACCTCCCCACCCATCACACAGCTAACTACTTGTCACACGGAGCCAGAAGGTCCTTCCCATGATGCCGAAGGCTGATGCCTCAGAACAGGGCTGCAAAGAGGACGTCCCCATTCCCAAACCCTCCTGCCCCGTACCATGCTGTCACAGCCAGCGCCTCCCCCCAGCCCCAGCTCCTCCATCCCTCACTGCCTGGCGCAAGGATGAGGCAGACCTCACCTGACCCAGTGGATGGAGAGAGCCATAGGCCAGGATGCACAACACCACATCGTAGGACTGCAGGAGCGGAGCCTGGTGCCACGGGGAGAACAGCGAGCATCCTACATGGGGATGTTCACTGCCTGATCCACAACACCTGTCAGCCCCCCGTCCAAACACAACTGGAGGGCTCCTTACTTGCTGGAAGCCCGTGGCCACCACCGGGCCTGGTGGCAGGGAAGCAGAGCCCCATCTCACAGAGTACCCCATTAGCCCCTCCATGGCATGGGGCTGGGAGACCTCAGCTGCAGCTGCAAAGAGCGGGCAGCCCTCTCCTGCCCCAGAGTGGAGGACGTCTGAGCACAGGAGGAATGTGTCTCTGGAACAGGACCATCTCAGCCCTCCACACCAGGCCCTTCCTGCCCTGAAGGAGCAGCAAAAAAGGGTGCTGGCTGTAACTCAATACTTGCTCCACATCCTTGCCCTGGGGCTAGTGTGGCTGGAAACACGGCTCTGCTTGTCCCACAGTGACTTCTCCATAAAGATGAACTCTTCTTCAAAGTGCTCAAGCTCAGCTCCCCCCAGAGCCCTCAGGTGCTGCCCCTCAGCCATTTCCTGGGATTTCTTCCAGCAGATGCTGTCTTCTCACTCCTCTCCTGACATAGCACTGCTGCACACACCTAACTGCATGCCTTGCCCAGCTCCGAAGCGGCTGTGTCTGAAGCACGGCTAGGAGGGATTACTAAAGGGTGAGAAGCTCTGGAGACGGGCACTGTGTGCAGCTGAGAAGCACTCCAGGTCCTGACAGCATCAGCAGAGAAATTCCAGCTATGCTTCCTCTGGCCAAGGGCCAGAATAATTTCTGGAAGCTGTTGCCATAACACGATTGCAACCTTCATTTTTATTTTAAGACATCTTTTCCTTGTATTTACTTTATTCTCCTTAACACAAAGCAGTAAAGAGCCACCACTGCTGCTGCATTTCAGCTGGCTCTGACATCAAACCAAGCAGCCAAACCCACACAAAGCCTTTCAGCTGGCAGCCCAGACCTGCTAAAAGCCACCTCAACTCAGGATTAACACGACCCCACTGCTTGAAGCATCCCTAGGAAACACACTGAGTTGTGGCCAACCGGACACGAGGAAAAGCCATGGATCCCATCCAGGGGAGAGGCAAGGCGGAAGACAGCACCAGGATTAGCCATCCAGTACTGACCTGTTGGTGAAGGGAGAGGGGAAAAAGCTCCCCAAAAGGGTTTGGGGAGGACCGCTGCACGACACAGCCAGCTCCCACCCCTGCTGCCCCTGCCCCTTGAGGGAGCCAAATCTGCCATCGCTGCAGCTGACCCAGGCACAGCAGCGCAGGAGGAGCGGGCAGTGCCAGGCCAGCAGGTCTTGAGCACGGCAAATAGGATCTTGGGCAAACAAGCCTGAGAGGCCTACGCTAGCTGTCATCTAACTAGGGTGGGTAGCAAGCGGAGGAAAGATGAGCCAGCTAAAAACCAGAGTAGGTACATGGGTGTTGGTGCTCCAGCTATCTCGAAGGAACTTGGGGCAGGGCAGTGTACTTGTGCTGCAGCACTCGTAGGCTTTGCTGCAGAGATGTACCCTGCCAGCCCTTAGCAAAGGCAGAGATGTGGTCGTATTGAAGCAAGGTGGAATCACTCGGAGAGCCCCGAAGCAGGCGTGACTGGAGGAGGCAGTGACAGGCTGGTGCACAGAGAAAGACAGAGGTGGAGAGAGGCAGAGAGCACAGCATGAGCCCTGCGCGGTCAGGGATGGGGATGACTGGAAGGATCTAGTCCCCTTCTGGGAGGGTCTCCCAGCCACGTCGCATGGCTTTCACCACAGCACCGTAGAGTTTGCTCCAAGCCTCCTCTACATCTGGGCTGAAGGCAGCGCCAAGGCATTTCTCCAGCATGTACAGCAAGGACTCGCCGACAGTCTGCAAACCAAACAGGGAGTTGCCAAGCTCAGCACCGAGGGATGACAGACAGCCCCTTGTCTTGCTTCACTGCCTTTTTGGACTTCTCCCGTCACAGGGCAGCTGCTCCTCCTTCACCAGTGGGACCAGGCCACCCCATCCCTGGCTGCTCAGAGGGGTCCCAGAACCAGCTCATGCCTTCCCCTTCCCTTGCCCTATGCTGGCCCACCCCCCACACCCTGGCTGAGCAGGGAGTGCTGGCAGGAAGCAAGGGCTGACACCACACATGTAACATCAGGGGAAAGGTACACGTCCATCCCCTGTGGCTCCCAGATGCAGGCGGGTAGCCAGCCCCATCCCCTGGCATAGCAGTGGATCAGCAGAGCTGAGCAATGCCCCGATGCCGGGAGAGTGGGTCAGACCCCAGGCTGGATGCTCAAGGCCTGCCTCACCACCTCTCAGGCTTCTCCACAGGGCACTGCTCCTCACCGAGCTGCGAGCAAGCCCACCCAGAAGCACCCACACACTGAGCACAGGGCTGGTGAGGATCACTACCCTGAGCAAAGGGGACCCTGCTCCCTCCGAAGAGGACCAAAGCTAGCAGTATCAGGAGAGAGCAATCCAGCCTGGGGTCACAGGAGAGACTGCAGTGTCCCAAACTGTGGTCCTCTTCAAAGAGGGGAAATGCCTTGCTCCCCTCTGTCCTTTCTCCCTGGGCTTACTGGGGGAGGGCAGAAAATGAGGGAAGCTCAAGGATTTCCATGATTGAGCCAACATCACTTATGCAGATATCAGCAGCTCAGAGCCGCCAGCTTTCTCTCCAGCTAGCTGAATCCAGCAGGCAGGCACAGAGGGATGGGGATGGCCAAGGGCTGCAGGCACGGCTGCACAAACATGGCCACAGCAGGACAAGAGAGGAAGGATGCCTCACCGAGAAAGACTCGACCTTCACACCGACCGCCTGGTGCTTCTTGCCTAGGTTGCAGAGATACTTTTCCAGGCAGGACAAGTTCTCCAGGTGGCTCACAGCAGCATCGATCACCAGCATCACCTGCAGAAGCAGAGAGGCAGAACATCATTAACAGCAAAGCTCTGCTGCCCTCCCAGAGGAATGAAGAGTCTGACCTCTGTACTTCACCCTTCTCAGCCTGACCACCTCCCAGCCCAGCAGATGCCCTCTGAGCTTTCCTTTCCTCTACTGCCATCCATGTGTCACATCAGTGAGGCGTGTTGGCAGCAGCACACACCACGTCTTTCCGCGGGACACTGCCAGAGGTGCCACAGCAAGCAGCACTGCTGACCTCCCTGTCCCAGAGGGGGTAAACAGCCCCATAGCAGAGCGGTTACGGGCTAAGACCTGATGCTGATGCAGTCACTACAGCTCTTAGGACCCCAGCACAACTGCAGGGGAGCCCTGGCAGTTGCCAGGACTAGAGTTTCCAACTAGGAGTTGCCAAGATGATGCAGCTGTCAATAAGGCAACTTCAATTCTAAGATCAGCCAAAGTATTTTGAGGAGATGGATTGGATGGCACAGCCAAGAGACCTGGTCTGGTAAAACACTGTATTGGATTTGCATGATAAGGTTTTGGTAGCGGGGGGGAGGGCTACAGGGGTGGCTTCTGTGAGAAGCTGCCAGAAGCTTCCCCCATGTCCAATGGAGCCAGTGACAGCCGGCTACAAGATGGACCTGCCGCTGGCCCAAGCCGAGCCCATCAGCGGCGGTGGTAACGCCTCTGGGATAACGTATTTAAGAAAGGGAAAAAGTTACTGTGCAAGAGAAATTGCAGCCAGAGAGAAGACTCAGAATACATGAGAGCAACACCTCTGCAGCCCCCAGGTGAGTGCAGCAGGAGGAGGAGGTGCTGC